ATCAGAAATGCACCTGTGCCCTGGCTGGTTTTGCTCAGTGGTTAGAGCGTCGGCCCGCGGTCCAGAGAGACCTGGGTTCATTTCCCGCTAAAGGCATGTACCTCGGTTGCAGTTTGTCCCCGGCCCCAGTTGGGATTGTGTGTGTGGCAATCAGTTGATGTGTCTCTCTCTCTCCCCCTCTCTATGCAAAAATGTCCTTGGGTGAGGGAAAAAAAAAAGAAATGCACCTGTGCTGTGTTGCATGGTTGAATGTGAATAAACCTAATTAGAAATAACCCCACTTTTTATGTTCTAAGAAGCATTTAGATGAATCGAGACACATTTTGGAGGTAGGAATTGATTGATTGGATGTATGGAGGGATATCAAGGACTCCACATGATTTTTGCCAGGAGCACATGGGTGGGTGGAGGTTTCATTTACTGCACAGGAAGACAAGCAGATTTGTTGGGAAGGTGCTGTTTTGGACAGTTAAAGCTTGAGATGTCTGTGGGACATCAAATGGAGATGTTAAGGAGGCAGTGGGATATGTAGGTCTGGAGTAAGATGATTACATTTCCCTATTGTTTGAGTCCTTTTGGAGTTGGGTTTTCTTTAATTGAATTTAAAGGTACTGTATTGACATCTTTGTGGTTAAGCAGAACTCAGACTCTATGACAGACTTGCTGAAGTAAAATCTGGCAGTTCGCAACGATGGGGACCTCTATTTTCTCTAGTGAAGTGAGAGCTTCACTAGATATAGTTCACTGCTATTGGTCACTTCACCTAAAACCACAAACTAATTCTTAAAAAAAAAAAGTTCTTATTGATTTTTAGAGGGAGAGAAATAGAAACATCCATGTAAAAGAGAAACATCGATCAACCGCCCTCTGCACACCCCCTACTTAGGTATTGAGCCTGCAACCCAAGCATGTGCTCTGACCAGGAATCAAACCGGGACCTGGCAGTCCGTGGGATGACGCTCAGTCCACTGAGCCACACCAGCTGGACCACAAGCTAATTCTTAAACAAACTCCTTAAACCCTACTGAGGATGTTCTGCAGGTGAGCAAATGCTTATTTAGAATGGCTGTAGAAGAGGCTCATGTATGTGTATCTTGTATAGAAAATGTGTTTTTCCTGTTGTCTCTTATGGAGTTTATTTTGGGTTGCTACTGCAAACAATTTGAGCTTAGAATATGCTTGGTCTGTTTGTAGAGTGTATTTAGCAAATTAAAACTGTGATTCCTTGATTTAGATGTGTGCATCTTGTCCTGGGTAAAAGTGATTAGTTTCAATCTCAAATTAGTTTTTTTTCTTTTTGCCTTTCATGAGTACTCTAGTTTTTTCTGCAGTTACTGCTTCACAATTCAGTGAGGCTTCAGTATTTCAGTGTGTTTATCTGAAACACAATGGAACCTCCTGAAGCACTGGATTTTTGGTCATGGACTCTTAGAGGGGATGTTGCTTCCTTGCAGTGGTTTGGGCCAGTCTAATACAGTACCAATATGTAATTAGTCACTTAAACATTAAATTCTTAGCTATGCGTGTGGGATAAAAGTTTGGTTTTCTCCTTCTCAAGGAATTTCACATAACAGCAAGTGGTTTGAGGAAGTATTTTTATGCCTGAGATGAAATGGGATGGTGGAAGAAGAGCCTTTTCCCCCCCAAATGTTTTTATTGACTTTTAGAGAGAGAGAGAAATGCCAATGTGTGAGAGAGAAACATTAATTGGCTGCCTCCCCATATGAGGGGCCAACAACCTGGGCATGTGCCCGAAATGGAACTAGTGACCTTTGGTGCATGGGATGATGCTCAACCAACTGAGTCACACAGGCCAGGGCAAAAGGAGCCTTTTTTTTTCCTTTTTCTTTTTTAATTATCTTTATTGTTGAAAGTATTACAGATGTCTCTCCTTTTTTACCCCATTAACCCCCTCCTCCCCACTCCCACCCCCAACCCCCCCTGCCTTCATCACACTATTGTCTGTGTCCACTGGTTACACATACATGCAAATAAATACTTTGGTTTATCTCTTCCCATGTCCTGCCTCTCTTCCCTCTGAGGTCTGTCAGTCTTTTCTTTACTTCCATGTCTCTGGATCTATTTTGTTCATTATATTCCTCAAATAAGCGACATCATGTGATACCTGTCTCTCTCTGACTGGCTTACTTCACTTAGCATAGTACTCTCCAGGTCTCTCCATGCCGTCTCAAAGGGTAAGTGATCTTTCTTTTTCACAGCTGCATAGTATTCCATTGTGTAAATGTACCACAACTTTTTTATCCATTCATCTACTGATAAACACTTGGGTTGTTTTCAGATCTTACTATTGTAAATAGCAAAGCTATGAATATAGGGGTGCATATATTCTTTCTGATTGGTGTTTCAGGCTTCTTAGAAAGTGGGATCACTGGGTTAAATGGCAGTTCCATTTTTAATTTTTTGAGGAAACACCATACCGTTTTCCATAGTGACTACACCAGTCTGCATTCCTACCAGCACTATACTACGTCCTTGCCAGCACTTGTTATTAGAGGAACCTTTTAATTCCCTGGAGGCATACCCAGTTTGCCTCAAAGGCTCCAAGCACAGCAGGTTGGAAATACCTTCAATTTTGTCATTCTTTAGTTCAACAGACAATTATATGACAATTAGTCTACTATGTGTATATTTATGAATATCCATCCCTAAGATACACAGAACACATTGTCTTTGCTCTCCAATAATTCACGATCTAGTACAATTGCTTACTTAGAATAACAGAAGGATGATAAAGGGTTGTGAGAATGGATGATTAATTCTGCCTCAGAGGGTCTAGGAAAGCTTCACAGGAGTAACATTTGATTGGGATTTTGATGGATGAACAGGAGTTCACTAGGCAGACGAGGAACGTGAAAAGAACTAAGACTGAAGTTAAGTGAGTTCTAAGAGGAATGTTGGATAAATATAGGAGCACAGGATGCAGAGATTTGTACCATAATATACAGAGCTGAGTAACATGGCATCACACAAACATAGCACATAGTAAAGGTGTTAGTTTTTAAATTATTCCTGTTTTTTACATAAATTTTTATATAAATCCCAAGAAGCCCAGAAATGACTGGGCTACATGTGAATTAAAATGAACCTTTTGGGAAAGTCTATTACTTTGCTGGGCATGTCCAAAAGCTGTCTTAAGAGCAAAAGAATCCTCTCTTGAACACAGAAAATATTCAAGATAACTCCCTTCAGGTGACCCCTTAGTTGTCTCTAAATTGGAATATTTGGCTTGAGCACAATGCCCACTTTCTTCTTAATTACTCTTTTGACAGGTGGAGACATACCTGAAGTCATTACTACTTGATCTAGATACCTGTTCTTCATATTGCCTATATGTGATTTGCTTGATACAGGAATTCAGTAAGATTACATATGTATATACTTTTTAGTTTTCAATTATGGTTGACATTCAATTTTATATCAGTTTCAGGTGTACAGAATAGTAGTTAGATATTTATTGACTTACAAAACAATCCCCCCATATGTCTAGTACCCACCTGACGCCATACATAGTTATGACGGTATTACTGACTATATTCCCTATTCTGTACTGTTAAGATTCTATAAAGATTTCAGAATTTGATCTGTACTCCTGAGTTTTAATTATTCTGTAATGCAAATTCTGTTAATTTGATTAAAAATAAAAAATTAAATATTTAAAAATCTTCCTTTGAGATTTTTAAGTAATGTTCCTTCAATTACAAAGTGGAAAACAAATGTTTAGACTCGTCGGAGTTCTTGCTGTATTTTGCATTAGTCTTTGTTTCCCTAGTGCCTGGGCACATGCTAAACAGGAAAGTGATAATTTGTTGACTGAAGTACCTAAAAACTGTATTTTTTTTCTGGATGTACTGCAGGAAGCTGCAAATCCCAAAGCCTGAATAATCCAGTTTTCAGGCAAGGCATTTGGGCTTTCTAATAGGTCTATTAAAGAATTTTACTGTTACACTGCATGAAACGCGTGGCGGTGTTTAAAAAACACACCCCAATCCCCCATACAACAAATTCAGAAACCTCGTAAAGATGAGTCACAGCATTTATACATTCTATTTAGTACAGGGACTAAAAATCATTAAAATTAAATGAACCCTCGGTTGATTTAACACTTCCCAACTCTCAGTATTTTTAAATGGTGGTAGGTTTTGGGATATTCAGATAAGGCAAGCAAAGCAAAACAATCCCTGTTCCTTAAAACATACAAGTTACCTCCTTCTTTACGAAAACTTTCAGAAGAGCAGGCAGGAAGACAATCTCCCTTGGAAAACAAATCTTAAATGAAAAAGTTTTAGTCGTCGGCGGCCTCGGCCTGCTGACCCAGGGCTGGAATGCGCGGCGGCCGGGGAAACCTCAATGTCACCCGGTCGCGGGCGATGACGGCGGGCGGAGGAGCTGCGGCAGTCCGTGCACGCGCGCACCCCGCGCGGCGCCGCACTCTGCGTCCGCTCAGCGAGGCGTCCCCAGGCGCCAATCTGGACACAGCCGGAGGCACGGGGACTACACCTCAGGGCCGCCTCCTTGCTCGGACTGGGAACTTCCAGGACAGAAGGAGCAGAGGGTGCGCGCCTCCCCTGCCCCACCTCAACGCAGCAGGCGCACGGGGCACGGTCGCCTTCAGGGAGGTATTACCACGCCGGCGCGCCGCCCCGGCTCCCGCCCGCCGCCGGGAAGTGGGGGCGGGGCGGGTGGGTGAGAGGAATCCAGGAATCCTAGGAAGGGCGGGGACAGAGGAAGGGGCACCTCTAGCTGCGCCTTCGAAACAGCGCTCCTTGTTCTCGATGGTCCCCGCGCGGCTGTCTTATCGAACGCCACTTCCGGTTCCTTTTAAAGGCCCCACGCTGTGCGACGCAGCGCGAGTGAGAAAGGTATAAAAGGGAGCGAGAGGGCCGGACCGAAGAGGAAGGGGAAAAAAAAATAGCGGTAGAGGGGGCGGGGGAGGTGCAAAGGGCGCGCTCGCGCGTCACGTGACCGGGACGCGCCGTTCTTCCGTCGGCCATTTTAGGTGGTCCGCGGCGGCGCCATTAAAGCGAGGAGGCAAGAGCGGCCGCCGCTACTGCTTATTCTTTTTTAGTGCAACGGAAGAGAGCGGGAGAGTGCGCTGCGCGAGAGTGGGAGGCGAGGTGGGCAGGCAGGGAGAGGCGCAGGAGCCTTTGCAGCCACGCGCGCCTTCTCTGTCTTGTGTGCTTCGCGCGGTACAGCGGGCGCGCGGCAGCGGAGGGGATTACTTTGCTGCTAGTTTCGGTTCGCGGCAGCGGCGGGTGTAGTCTCTTCGGCGGCGGAGGCAGTAGCACTATGTCGGAGGAGCAGTTCGGCGGAGACGGGGCGGCGGCGGCGGCAGCAACGGCGGCGGTAGGCGGCTCGGCAGGCGAGCAGGAGGGAGCCATGGTGGCGGCGGCGCAAGGAGCATCGGCGGCGGCGGGAAGCGGAGCCGGGACCGGGGGCGGAACCGCGGCCGGAGGCACTGAAGTGGGTAGCGCCGAGTCGGAGGGGGCGAAGATCGATGCCAGTAAGAACGAGGAGGATGAAGGGTGAGTAAGGGGCGGCCCGGGATAGCCAGGCCCAACTAGTTCCCCCTCCCCCTTCCTATTCCCCGCCATTAGGCCTCATTCCCGCTCTCCGCCAGCCTTCCAGGCCCCCATGCAGCCTCCTTGCACTGTCTTCCTCCCCTCTACGTTGGGATCCCCGGGGCTTTCATTGCCTTCTCCCCCAGCCTGCTTATCGCCCCCTCCCCCATCACACACGTTTCCACCTTTAGCCATCTCCATGCTGCTCCCTGGCCCGCCCTTCTTCCCTCCCTTGTCATAGGTCTCCTCCCACCGATTTAGCCGCCAGGATTTTTTCCCGCCTGTCTAGGGTACCTTTTTTCTTTTCCCTCTCTCTCCTCTGTTCCCCGTTTTCTAAAGTCCCGGGCATAAAAATGCAAACAGGTACAAAGCCTTTATGCCTGGACAGCTAAGGTTTATTTGGTGCGTCTCACTCCAGCATCCTGAAACGATGCATTTGTTTTATAAGCAATGCTTTGGGGACCGTGTAGGCTTCCACCTGTACTCCTACTTTTCGGCTTCAGGCCAAATATTTTTTTTAGTATTTTGAATAAGGTTCGCCCGATTTCTTCGCTTTTTCACTGTACACTGTCGTACAACGGCTTGCTTGCACAGTTCCTACTTTTCAGCCTAGGGAACAAATTGGACTAGGTGAAATGCCCCGACTCGCCTGTTGGTACGTTGGTTTTGTTCCACGGGCTTTGGTTAAGTTCCTTGTCGGATGGGCCTGCACTTGACTGGAGCTGTTCTACCTCAGGCTTGATGGCTGCGCTTCTCTGATGCCACCGACTTAGGCTAACCGCGCACCCCTTTCTCGCTCCAGCTGTTGGGTTCCCCAATGTCTCTACAGATGGTACTCTTACCTACTTTACTTTTTCTGTGTAATTTTCTTTTTTTAAAAAATAAATCTTTTTTTCCCACCCGGTGCCCAGGATCCTTTTTTGCTCTCTTGATTTCTCCTTCCTGCTCTTACCCACTGTTAAAGGAGGCCCACCAGCCTTTTAGAAAACGAGCAAATCCTGTATTATGCTATAGCATGACTTTTTTTTTTATTTTGCAGGTTTTGTTTTTTTTTTAAGTAGTAACTTGCTTCCTCCAATTGGAATTGGTTGTATACATTACTTAAAGCTGCACTTAATGTAGTAAAATGCAGCGTTTGGGAGCGAGAGTTAGCAGGAGGGACTAAATTGGGGTTCTTGATTGGGTTTTCTTACTCCTGTTTCTGACTACTGATTTTGGGTTAACGCTTCCAATCCTTTTTGTAGTGTGTGTGTGAATTTATTTCATTATAACAAGGAGAAAGGTGTTGGAAGGTAAAAGCATTTGGGAAAGAGCACAAGATTTTGGAGGGTGGAGAGAGATGCACTTGGAGTATAGGATTTATTCTCAGCCCAGACAAACTTGTCCGGCTATTACGCTGATTGTGTTGACTGGGAGAGTGGAGGTGGGATAGGAAAGTAGTTTTTCTTAATTAACCTTAAATGAAGTGTAGCTTAATTTAAGAAAGGAATATGTTAAATATTTGGAAACTTAAGCCTTTACTATTTTGGTTTTTGTTTTATGAATTCTGTTCCTTGGGCAGAGGCACCAAAATGAGTAATTGTATAACTTGCTGTTTGGGGCAGGCTTTCTGTTAACCTTGATTTTTCAAATCACAAAGCAGCTGCCTTTGTAGTTACCTACTGTTGAACTGAAGTGTAAATTAATTAAAAGTTTTTAACCCTAACAATGTCAAAAACCAAAACTAGAATTTTGATTGGTTGCTGTACCGGTTGTTAATTCCCTAGCCATTCAAACTCCTCCCCACGACACTCTGAAGCAGCGACGGCACAGCGGGAAGAATGGTAAAACTTTTACATTTTATTTCTGTATTATAAAGGTTTCAATAGTCATAACTTGCAGAGGCTGTGTTTTGGTTGGTTGCCCATTGACTCCCCAGGAAATTCTAGACAGTACAGTAGGATATCTTGTACCTGGGATATAAAACCTTTTTAGGCATCATGAGTGATCTTTGGGCAAAACTGATACCATTATATGGTTTTTGGTATGTGGTAATGCATGTAATTATGGTTTGACCAATTAAAACTTAATATAGTTAATAATGTTTTTTAAACATCTGGGCAAGAAAAAAGATAATGTAATTTCAAATTTGATTTTTGTTTTTAAGACAATGTTTTTGGAATTCTAAGTTTAGTGCTAAATGTGAAGGTTACTTGATATAAACTCTTGTGTGTTTAAAATGTCTTGCATGTTATACTGAAATATTCTGGAGATGTCAAAAGTAAAACAGTTCTTAAGGTAGCATTGTGTATGTATTATGCAAAAATGTATGTCTTTGATCACCAACCATATTTATAAATCTAACTTTAAGAATTGGATATGTACTATTTAGAGGTGGGCTGATAAGGCTTTCTACTACAGGCTCTTAATCAAACTTTTTATTTTGTGTGATTTGACCAGAATGTTAATTATAGTTGGTTGCTGTGTTCACAATTGCATGACTTCTCTTTGAAAGGCTGGTAGATTGAGTACTGTTCTTTTTATTATTCCTTTTCCCTAAATATCAGTCTTTCTTTAAGATTATATTCAAGTTTTCTAGGAGTTTTTTTTTTTTTGTCCACCATCACTGAAGTATGGAGGGCCAGTAATTTGTAGATAGTTGACTTATATGTGTACAAATTACATTCTATTTTAAGAGCCCAGTTGGGATAACATTGAAATTTTGCTTGAGCTTTTCTTATTACTGTAATCTTATCTACTGAAATCTGTCCAGTTTTATATTGGAGATAAAGCAGACTGGAAACAATAGTATAAAGGGAAAAGCAAAAGAAGAAACTGGGGTCAGAGTTTGGCATACAGAATAAAAATTATACCCTCTTATACTGATCTTTTCACTGCTAATAGTGATAAACTAAGATTAAGCAAACCATAACTGTCCTTCTTTTTTCTACCCCATTATACATTTCAAATCTTAATGTAAGCAATTATTTTCAGTAATTTGAAAGGACCATAAACTTAGGTTTGAAGGTTGCTGTTGTACTCTTGTATAAGAATTATATTTGCCCTGCTACCTAATACTGTAACTTCATAAGTTTTTTGAGTGATCTCTCAGGAAAAATGGGCAATTAAATGTTTATAGTTTAATGAACATTTCAGATTCTGACCATTTATTATCCATTGAAAATAGGATTTTACTGAGGTTCATTTTAAGTTAAGCAAGTTTACATTTAACATATAATGCTTTCATTTTCAAAGTCTAATATTTGACCTTTTAAAATCACTGCCCAATCACCCAGCCTCACCCTGTTGATATTCTTTTTTACCTTTTGAACAGAAAAATATCTCAAGACTTAACATTTTTTGTGTGTGTCTTCGCACTTGCCACCCTATCTGTTCTTTTCCCTGTCTCCCTGTTTGAGGAACATTGGGCAGCAGTTTCATAATAGTGTCAATAGTGAGGATAAGATTGCTTACTAGATATAAAATCATCTAGGTTCTTAAACACATTTCTTTGTGTACTTCTTTTTACAATTCTAACGAGAATAAAGTGATTACAGTTTCATCCTAAAATATTTTAAGAAATCAATTTGTTGTAGACTTTAAAAAGTTTTTAAAAATTTGAATATAAGACTGAACAGCTATGTTGAAGAGGGCATGCCTGTTGCATACCTTTAGTGGATGTTTCCGCAGTTCAGTATGGACTTTTAGAATAATTGTTTCCATAATAAAATGCTTTCTTTCCAACTTTAACATCTGTAGTTTTTACTAAGAAGCATTCGCACAGAAATTTCCTCTTTTGGTATAGACCTCTTGTTCTCTATACAGGGCTGCAGTTCTGTTAGGGTAGATACTTGGAAATCAGTGTCTGGCAAAATATACATGTCATGTAGCAAGCTCCCTGGAGGCAATATTTATTTTGGTTAATCCTCACCCAAGGATATTTTTCCATGGAAGGGAAGGCGGGAGGAGGGGGGAGTGAGAGAGAGAGAGAGACAGAGAGAGAGAGAGAGACAGAGACACTTCAGTGTGAGAGAGACAAGACTCATTGATTGGTTGCCTTCTGTAGGACCCCATTCAGGGATCGAACCTGCAACACCTGCAACGCAGGTATGTGCCCTTGACTGGGAATCAAACCTGAGACCCTTCAGTGTGAGGACCGATGCTCTAACTGCTGAGCCAAACTGGCCAGGGCTGGAGGCAACTTTTAAAGTCTCATGACCAGTGGAAAACTAATACTGTGTTAACTTTTAGACAGTTTTACGAGATAGGTACATTGATCTGCATTGGATTGGTCAGGGGGCAAAATAGTCACATTCAGTTATAAAAGTATAGCAATACTATTCTAGTAACAGGATGTTCAAACTGCTCTTTTAATCATTAGTATATATAAGTTCAAATGTGATAAGCCTGTTTGAGAATTTTGTGAATTCTGCTATAGGTTGTCTCCTGTTAATTTTTAAGAAATGGGACTATATGAGTTTTTGTTTTAAATATTTGAGATTATAGTACATATTCTGGTGCTTTTGGGACATTCTGAACACTGCTTTGTAAAACAGTTTTAGAGCAGTCTCATGCCAGCTTTAGTGGCCTTTGATTCAGTAAAGTTAGGTTTACTGTAAAGCTGAGATCCTGAGTAGATAGGTCTGAATTTTAGCATTCTTTGGAACATTTGGCAGGTTTCCAATGTTAAAATTGCAGAAATTGATGCCCTCAAATCTTGAGATGATGAACATATAAGGGAGGAATATTATTATTTATTTTTTAAAAATCCTCACCCAAGGACATTTTTCAAGGGACACATCGAGTGGTTGCCACCCACACAACCCAACCAGGGCTGGGGACAAACTGCAACCGAGGTACGTACCCTCAGCAGGAACCGAACCCACAGGCCAATGCTCTAACCGCTGAGCCAAACCGACCAGGGCTAAGGGAGGGAATATTAAATTCTCTCTATTTCAAATTTTTATCTATTATGAAAGATACTA